GAGAGAGAGAGAGAGAGAGAGAGAGAGAGAGAGAGAGAGAGAGAGAGGAAACTTTACCAGAGAGAGAGATAGAGAGAAGAAACTTTATTTAAGTTTTCATAAATTCTAAGATTAAATAGGGCGATGGGGTCTGATGTTGCCCAGGCTGGTCTAGAGCTCACTCTGTCACTCTGTATAGCTAGGGTGGCCTTGAACTCCTGATGCTCTGCCTCTAAGTCTCTAAGTGCTGGGAATGGAAGCCAGGGCTGTGTGCACTCTAGGCAAGGCTCTACTACTACGCCACAATCTTTGTCTTCAAGGCAAGGATCTTTAAGTCTCCTCTGCTTGCATTCCAAGTGCCATAAAGAAAATGTGGTGCACGGCAGCTGTACAATACATGGGTTTTTTTTTTAAAGCACAGATTAAAAAAATGCTTTAAATTTCCTACTGCAGATTTGCTCTCAAAAGATTCAATTATTCTTGAGATGGACTTCTGCTATACTCTAGGTTAGCCCTGACCTTGTATTGTAATCTTTCTGCTTTAGCCTCCTGTGTACTGGGATTATAGACACACATCACCGCATCCAGTTCAAAATTTTCTAGTTTTTTTCTTTCTTTGTGAATTGTTTTCTCCTCCCTACTTAATGGAGACCAAGCTCAGAATTTCTCAGTATTTGCTAAATGCTTTGCCACTACAGCCTCCGTTCTGGTCCACTTAGATCTTTAGCCACCAGTTAGGAACTGCATTACTGTTAGTTTAAGGGCCCTTGCTATTATAATCTATATTTACATTGTGATCTCTAAGACACACATATTTCTGATCACGGAAGGTCTAATTTTTCCAGGACAGTCTCTCTAAGCAAGTCTTAAAACAGCTAAGTAGAACCTATATATATTTTTTAAAAAACCATCTTATTAAACATGATACCAAAAGGATGTTATAGTGCTAAAAACACACAAATCAACTTTTCTGGAATGGGGAGGAAATCAACATATTTGGAACCAAGGCTCCGAACTGCAGAGTCACAGACAAGAATAAGACCTTGGGTTAGTGACTGTATTCTATACAGAAGAGTGCTAAGAAGCAGACACATGAAGCTACTTGTCAAAGGGCATCATGCTAGTTACTAAACAAGCCAGGATCAGAACTCAGACTTCTTGGTTTTGAATCTAGTCGTCCTTATGTTTAACAGAAAAGGATTAAACACAGGACAGGGTCACTTTAAATGTCAGGGAACAGTAAAGTGTATGCTGTAGGTACAGCACTTAACAAAGCAACAATTTTAAAAGAAAATGAACTATCCAATATACCATAACCCTGAGTTCACGTACTCAGTGCGCTGGAGCTGAAAATGGCTACAATCTACACTCATGTGTGTTCTAGGGGAGAGGAGGGAACCAGGTTAAAACACCACATAACCATTTTCTCAGGGACACAGGAAAGATGTGCTGAAAAGAGCTACCTCATTTCTCCAGGAACTGCCAGGGTTAGACCATGAGCCTACACAGAAAATAGGGAGAAGGCCTTGTGATTCTTGCATTTCTGAGCTTAAATGCCATATAACCCAAAGAAGCCAGGATGGAAGGAATCTTCACAGCTAGTACCTTTGAGATTACGAAGGAGATGGAGGGGAAGAACACACAATAACCTTTATATTACATACCGAGTCCTATTTAAAATAATATAAAAACTTGTATATTAATATAAAATTAAGAAAACGCAAAGTTTTAATATCTTATTTCCAAATTGTCAAAGCAAAATTAAAATGAACTCATGATTGGCTTTCCTAATGCCCAGTTATCCTCAATTCACACTAATAGTATCTCTGACATAGATGCCTTGGAAACTCAAATATGAAAAGGAATTAGAAACTGTGCAGTGAGTATACCAATGAATAAATCAAGACACTATTTAAAGCCCAATATTGTCAATGAATAGTCTATGTAGAAATCCTACTGGACACAGTGCAGGATTATGAAACCAACAACTTGAGTTTTGGTTGAAATATTTAAAAGTATTTTCCTTTGTATTTCCAGCATTCACGACCATAAAGAAAATAAAATATACAAACAAATCTCATGATAATAGTATTCACATTCTAGGTAAGGTCTGTCAACCTCAAAGTTCCAATTGAAGATTTAATTTCCAGATGTAAATCAACCCTAAACAGATTCTAAAAATCTGACAACATTGATGAAATTCATCAATCTCAAGAAATCCCTTTGTACATTGTTTTCCTACCTACCAGCGTGGAGTAAAAAGAAACTACAGAAGGGCTCGGCTCTTGATTTTCAGTAGTCCATGTGGCCAGTTTCACCACTATGAACAGTTAGATATTTCTCAAATCCAGACATTTAAAGGTCCAAGTACAACTTGTGGATTGTCCTCATTATGTAAAAAAAATAAACAATTTATTCTTCTTAGGGAGGCAATAGTACCTATATGAATGTAGGATTAGATGTTGGAGGTAAGTATATAATGTCAAAACCAAAAATAAAAATTTCAAGATTGAGACTTTAAAAGACTTGAAACATTATATTTTAAAAGTTACCCTAAAAGTTTGGACTTCTTTCAGTTTGTTTTTAAAATGGTGGTTCCTAAGTTCACAAATAAAAACCGAATAACGGTCTCTGTCATCACATAAAAACTGCACCGTTTAAACCTGTGGAAGATGAAAAGTGTTAAACAAAAGGGTTTTAATAGTCGTCCATGGAATTCTCAAAGAAGATATTGCGAACATCCAGAATGGAGGCCAATTCTAAAATATGCTTCTGAAGGTGAGGGCTCTCCACAGTCTCATCCCTTGGTAGTTGTGGATAGGATTCTGGGTAATTCCGAGTTTCCTGGCAAATAAGGAAAGTCATGTGTCACAGTCTTATGGGAGGAAACTACCCAGTTTGACAGTATTAAGTAGTAGTTCAATGTTATTATCACTAATATATGTGTTTTTGGTGGTTTGGAACTTTTATTTGTTAACTTTTAGGCAGGATTTTGCTATATCTCTAACACATGACAATGTTCAAGTCGGCTTCCTGAAAACATGATCATATGTGGTTTCTGTGCTGAGTTACTGACAAGGGACAATTTTACCCTCTCACAGCTTCATATGGGTGAGCCCAATATATCTGCACACTGAATTATTTCACAATTATTTGTTAACCTCTATGACTGACAGGACCAATACTCTATACTATCAAAAAACCATACAAATCCTGACGGATCCACACATAGAAATTTTTATTTTTTAAAAAAATCACTCATTTCATGAATAAAAAATGCTGCAGAAGAAATCAAAATGAGTGAAAAGACAAAATATAAAATAAAAACTCCTAGAAGAAAACAGAGAAAACCTTTGTAAGCTTAGAACAGATAAGATTTCTTAGGAATCTGAAGAAAAAAAGAGAATCCGATCTCCTGAACATTTCAAACCTTTGCTACCATTAAAAAACAAACAGAGGGCTGGAGAGATGGCTCAGAGGTTAAGGACACTGCCTGTTTTTCCGGAGGACCTGGGTTCAAGTCCCAGCACCCACATCACTGCTCATAACTGTTCTGTAGCCCCAGTTCCAGAGGATCTGATACCTTCACACCAATTCACATAAAATAAAGTTAAAAAAAATAAAAAAGGAGAAAGAAGTTTATAAAACAAACAAACAACAACCACAAAAACAAGCAGCAAACTCAAGCCAGCTGGCGAGCAGATGGAAAGATGTTTAGCACCATTCCTTGTGAGTAAAATGGAGATTGGAATCACCTCGTTAGAATGTAGGTCTGATGGCACCCAGTGCATCCAGGTATACAAGCAACTTTCATACTTTGAGAAAAGGTTTGGCAGTTTCTTGATGTGGGATTCCCCTCTGTATGCTGTGAATACCATTGGTGAGTAAAGAAACTGTGTTGAGTCCCTGATAGGGTAGAACGGAGCTAGGTGGGGAAAACTAAACTGAATGCTGGGAGAAAGAAGGGCGGAGTCGGAGAGAAGCCATGTATCCGGTAAGCCACAGTCACATGGTGATACACAGATTAATGGAGATGGGTTAAATTAAGATGTAAGAGTTAGTCAATAAGAAGCTAGAGCTAATGGGCCAAGCAGTGACCTAATTAATACAGTTTCTGTGTCATTAATCTGGGTCTGAGCTGCTGGGCGGCTGGGCAACAAACAGCCCCTTACAACAGTTTCTAGAAATGGAAGTCAAGCTCAAAAAGTGGGAAGGGGTAAGTGGTCCTGAAGTAGAAGACATTCTTCAAAAATAAACTCACACTGGAAGTCAAACAGCCATGAAAGAAAAACACTAGATCCTGTCAGTGGAGAGGACAAAGAGATAGGAACAGAGGCAGTGATGTCTGAGTTTCCTAATGATTATCTTTGCAGAGATTAAAAATGAAAACATACTGCATTGCCACACAAGACAAAAAGTTGCTGACCAAGCTGCTGCCTAGTGCTGAGCCAACATAAAACAAGACACTTTTATTGGGGCTCAGTGGTTAAGAACATCAACTGTTCTTCCAGAGGTCCTGAGCTCAATTCCCAGCAACCACGTGTAATGAGATCTAGTGCCCTCTTCTGTTGTGCAGAGAGAACACTGTATAATAAACAAACAAAAAACCAAACAAAGAAATAAATAAATATCCAAAAACCAAAAAACCCCACAAGACACTTTTACTAGCCAGGCAGTGGTGGTGCACGCCTTTAATCCCAGCATTCGGGAGGCAGAGGCAGGCAGATCTCTGTCAGTTCAAGGCCAGCCTGGTCTACAAGAGCTGGTTCCAGGATAGGCTCCAAAGTTACATAGACACCCTGTCTTGAAAAACTCAAAAAAAAAAAAAAGACGCTTCTATTAAGATAATGTCTTCTCTGATCTGTCTGCGAAGACTCCCACGAGCTCTCCTACTTATAGTGAAGGATTTCTTTCACTAGCTAATGACTTACAACTGCCCAGGTGACCACTGACAGTAGAATAATGGATTATTACTCAGAAGTAAAAAGAACTAAGTGGAGCTGGAGGCACAACTCAGTGCTCCACTTGTTGCTCTTCCAGAGGACCTGGGCTTGGTTCTGAATACCCACATGGTGGCTCAAAACCATCCAAAACTCCAGTTTCAGGGGATCCGGTGATCTCTTCTTGCTTCTGTGGGTACCAGGCATGCATGTGGTGCACCTATATATATGCAACAAAACACTAATACATATAAACAAAACAACACCAAAAAAAACCAACCAAAAATAATAAAAAAGAAACAAGCTAGTGATAAAAGAAAACGAATGTGCCAATCTTAGTAATGGCTTAACACAAGATTCTATCCAATCTACCATGTTCATAAGGCAATTTAAAAACTATCATATGAGCAGATCATGATGTAGCGCTTATAGACTCACCAGAAGGGTGTTGTATGGTTTAGTAGAGGTTTCATTTACAATAACACAATGTATTAACCATGTAGTAACACATATAATGACCAATGGTCGATTTCAACTTTGTGTGTTTTACTGTAAGCATGCATAGTGGGGCATATCTATAATCCTGGCACTCAGGAGTCTGAGGCAGGAGGATAGAAGTTCAAGGCCAGTCTGGACTACATAGTGAGACTGTATCTATTATACAAAACCAAACTGGAAATAAAATCAAAGTATGTGGCAGAATATTCTCAAACTAAAAGTTACAAAATCATTTTAAAAATTAAAAAATGTATATGTACAACCCTTAATGTTGCATACTAAAGTAAAAAATGCAATGGATAACATTCAAAACAAAAACTGTGAGTACCAGTTTGGTGAGGACTCAGTCCAGTGCATCACCCAGCCCTCATCAGAGAAACTTCTTTTGGTAGATGGTGTAACATGAAGACCTACAACTGGACAATGTGCAGAGAATGGGGCTATGGAGCACTCAGCTCTACATAGGACGTCGTCATCAAACCCTACCCCCAGGGCTTGGGGGCTATGCAAAAGAAGAGGTGAAATGATTAGAAGAGCCGGTTATGATGACCACAAGGAAACAGCCAGCGTGGTGCACATCTGAACACAGAGATTGACAGCATGCAGTAGACCAGCACAGGTACAAACCAGACAGACTCCCAACACCAACCAAGAAGGATTTGCAATTGATACTACTGGAGAAAGAAAAATCAGTTTTCTACAATGTAGTATCATTGGGTTTATCAATCACACTCCAGGCCAGGTCCCAGGCCCAAGAGTGGTTGGCCGACATAAAACACACTTTGTGTTTTGTTATTTCTTTCGTTTTATTGTTTTTTGGTATTTTTTGTTAGATCTTCCTTTCTTCCTTCTTCTTTTTTTTTTTTTTTTTTGAGACAGGGTTTCTCTGTGTGACCTTGGTTGTCCTGGAACTTGCTCTGTAGGCCAGGCTGGCCTTGAACTCAGAGATTCACCTGCCTCTGCCTCTGGAGTGCTGGGATTAAAGGAGTGCACAAACTACTATTTCATCATTTATATAATAATAAACACCTGGAGGCAATCCAAATGTCCATTATTGGTAAGAATGGGTAAGTAAATGAGACACAGCCAATACCAAAGAATAAACATCAAAATCAACATGGCTCAATTGCAGCAATATGCCATACATACACATACATACATATGCACATACATGGATGTATTTAAATCAATTTCCCTGTGGTGCTGCTTACTGACCTCAGGACTTATGCATGCTAAGTGGGCATCCCACCACTGAGCTCCAGCTCTCAGAACACTACTGATGAAAATAAACCAATGTATATCCATTTATATACTTTTTCTTTTTTGATTTTTTTTAAATATTTTAAATTTTTTTAAATATTTCTTTTATGGTTTATTTAACTTTATCTTATGTGCATTGGTGTGAAGCTGTCAGATTCCCCGGAACTGGATTTTCAGACAGTTGTGAGCTGCCATGTGGGTGCTGGGAATTGAACCCGGGTCCACTGGAAGAGCAGTCAGTGCTCTTAACCGTTGAGCCATCTCTCCAGCCCCCTTCTTTTTTGATTTTTTTTTTTTGAGATAGGTTTTCTCTGTGTAGTTCTGGCTGTCCTGGAACTTGCTCTGTAGACCCAGCTGGCCTCAAACTCCAACCTGCCTGCTTCTGCTCCTCACTGGAACTAAAGGTGTGTAATAGCACTGTCTAGCAACAGGTTTTAACAAAAGGTGAAGATCACAACACTCGGCTATCAGCTGCATTTGAGGAGAGATTTGGTAGGGCCCACAGCAGTCTGCCCAAGTAAAGAAAGCCTAAAGAGACAGACAGAGAGAGAGAGAGAGAGAGAGAGAGAGAAAAGAAAAAGAAGACAAGTGTCTCATCTATCCCAGGCTGGCCACAAACCCATGAGGTAGCCAATGGTGACTTTGAACTTTGACTCTACTTCTCAGGTGTTAAAAATACAGGCAGCTCATGAAAATGTTAATCTTTTTCTGTTTCTTTCAGCTTCTAGAGACAGGATTTGCCTCAGCCTACTAAATACTGAGATTCGAAGCATGCACTGCCATGCCCATGATACACTCATCGTAATGCCGTACACGTTTTCTTCTGAATACTATTCTGAATCTATTTAAACTTTATTTAGTGTAAGTAAAATAGGATACATGACTAGCAATAATGGATCAAAATGGTAAACTTGATCTTTAGTGATTCACTGCCTACCCGAAAGGCCTTGTGCATCCTCATGGTGGCTGAACAGAAGACAAACCTTGTGAGAAGCAATCGAAGAAACTCATCTCCAAAAAACTGGAGAAAGGCCTGATCTGCAGGGGAAAAGGGGACGGTGAATGCAGGCAACTGAAAACACCACTTCAATAGTGAACTAAGTTAAGGAAAGCCTTCACGACTTTCCTACCTAGGACAATACCTTTAAAAACCCAAATAGTTTATAGTAGGAAACCATATAAACCACTACAGTAAGCTTTGTTTAGTGTGCAGGTAGATTAGCAGGGTACCTATTGAACGTGAATGGGTCAGTAGCTGGGCAATATCACGGTTGATTTTTCGAAGATATTCTTGACACTTTTCCCACAGGCCTCTACGCATGCTTGACAATCCAGACACAAATAGGAAGGCCATTAGAGGATTGTTCAAAAAGAGAGTGAAGAGGCTACCTCGCTGAGACTGATCTGTAATTACAAACATGTTACATACAGACAAGATGTTTACAAAGGGTTAGCAGACACAAGAGGAATATCTTAATACACTGATAATGTATAAAATTAAAGCTGGATCAGTAAATCACAGTTTGACAATGTAAATTCTTCACAAAACTATGAAAATACATCCTAGGCATATTGCTTCTTTTTTTTTTTTTTGGTTTTTCGAGACAGGGTTTCTCTGTAGCTTTGGAGTCTCTCCTGGAACTAGCTCTTGTAGACCAGGTTGGCCTTGAATTTACAAAGATATGCCTGCCTCTGCCTCCTGAGCGCTGGGATTAAAGGCCATACTGCTTTTTGAGCAAAACAAAAACACTGAGGCTCTTTCAACTTTTTTTTTTCTTTCTTTTTTTCTTGAGACATTTCTCTGTGTAACAGTTCTGGCTGTCCCGAACTGTCCAAACTGGCCTTAACTCAAGAGATCTGCCTGCCCCCCCCCATTAAAGGCGTGCACACGTGGCCTGGCTTAAACACATTTCTTATTATCTTAACACCTTAACACCAACTAACCAATTTCATCCAAATACGGCAAGTACTGCTTCATGAAGCATCCACGACGATGATGTAAACATCTGATGAGTACCTAATCTGCCAATTTTCTGATGGGTTGTTCTTTCTATGCAACCCAGGCCCTTTTTGAGTCAAGGTCTTATGGACTCATGAAGTACCTAAGGACAACCCTGAACTTCTGATCCTATTGCCTTTTTACCTCCTTAAGTATGGGATTATTATAGGTCTGTACCATCATACTTAGAATCTGCCTGGCACTTCAATGTCAACACTGCTTTTCCTTTGGCACATTGCTGATCACACCAACTCCTAGGATAGAAGTTGCTACTCATGCTCATAGACGCCTAATTTTCAAAGACTAAGACTGGTTCTGTGCTTTCCTGTGATCTATTATACACAAAGACTGGGCTGCTCCAAACCATCTATGAATGTATCGCAGACTTCAAAGACTTAGAACAAAAAGGCATACTGTTTCATCCTACATTTCTACTGAACAGCACTGGGATAAATTCAAGTTCATTCTCAGAAAGACCGTGAATCTAACAAATGCTTTCTACTACAGCTTTCTAATGCAGGATTTCTACCAATCCCGGAGCCACAGACTTCTTCCTGTCTGCCTGTCTATCAGCAAGTCCTGCAGCACGAGAGGGCTCTAGGTGATCGAATGCCACCGCTGAGCCTCTGACACCATCACCTGGCTACTTCCCTCAGCACCCTCTAATGCTGTCTCTGCAGGTTCATCCTCCCACCTCCTCTGTAGAGCACAGTTCACTCAAATCTCTCCAATTCAAATCAGATCATCTTTAAAGGATTCTTATCATTCAGTCACGTAATCCCTTCCAACAGAGATACTATTTAAATTTCTCTAAATGTTTGTTTTCCAGGCTTTATAGCGCAAAGCTATTATTGTTCTGCTGAAACCTTGCCTGCTCCCCAGCCCCATTCAGCATCTCTCCCCCTGTTTGTACTCCTGTGCTTCCTCTGTTAGGTCAGCTCTATCTTCTTCTACTAGATACTGGCTCTGTGAGAAACACAACTTGAGTATCAGATGCAATGCTATTCCTCGGTGCCTAGCACAAGGTTGATGGATATTTTTTTTTTTTTACATTTAGTTATTTATATTTATTATGTATACAGTGCCTGCCTGCATGTACGTCTACAGGCCAGTAGAGGGCACAAGATCTCAATATAGATGGTTATGAGCCACCATGTTGTTGCTGGGAATGGAACTCAGGACCTCTGGAAGAGCAGCCAGTGCTCTTAACCTCTGACCATCTCTCCAGCCTTGAATAACTCTTATAAACTGTACTAAATAAATAAAGTATGTCTTGATTAATGATAGAACTACAGACACACAAAATGTAGGAACCTTATCAAATACATAAACTACTTTGTGGCCAGAGTGCCAAGCCCTTTTGTAGAGGTCAGCAGCAACAATGCCACTGAATAAATCCTAAATTGAATAACAAAGTATTCAATCTGTCTAGTGGCTAAATTTTACTTAAAAGTATCTATAGTCTAAGCTTTATAGTGTAAAGATAAGATGTTGGGCAAAAAAACATTCAGGACATGAATCATAACTACATACATATTAACATCACAAACTGAGTATGCTCTAGGTACCTAGCACTATGCAACAGGGTTAAGTACTATTACTATTACAGATGGAAATAGTAATAACTGAGGCACAACATGGCGGAATAGCATTCTAAAGAAACAGAGCTAATAAGTGGCTGGCTAGGCTGGGACTCAAGTTCAGCTGGCACCCTTAAGTCTGTGCTTTCCTCCTCTGTTCGATGAAGTTGCTAACTGAATTTTGGTGTTAACCCACTTGACCATGTAGTTTTAAATAAAACTACATTAGAACAGGATGATGACAGCACTCTCTAGTAGTGGGGAGAGGTTACATTCCTCCAGAAACAATAAGAAACAGGATGCAAAATCCTCAAAGCAGGAGAATTTTACCGTTGTTTGAAGGTAAGTTCTATCCCTTAGGATTTGGCTTTGGCTATGTGAACTTAGAAATGCTACAAGATTTTTCCTGTTAAACAACAGAACTTACCTTAAAACAACGGTGTAAGTCTCCAGCTTCTCTCAGGCATTCAAGTGCTGACCATCACTTCCTGTGTGAAACTATGTCAGCAGCCAGGACTTCGGGCTGGGATGTAGCAATGCAATGCCATCTCCCACAGAGAGACATCAGCACTATCCACAGTCAGGGAGACAGTGAGACAGTGACAAGTACTGCTAAGACAGGGTGAAGTTTCACTTAGCATTTGACCTAGGAAATGACTGGGAGTTAGAATTAGATTTTATGTGTAACCTATCCAGGATAAAACACTTAGGGCAAAAGGCTTTTCCTTTGTAGCCATTGGAGAAATGGCCCAAACAAACTTGTCCTTGTGGTGAATTCTGAAGAGATTATTTTAAAAGTATAGGATAAAAATGCAAAGAAAAACACAAAACAAAAACAAACAACAAGAAAAGAAAGAAAGAAGCCTTAAGTTGTGCCAGCTCAGGTATCCTAACTTATAGACACAGGCTGAGAAACTTCCTAGACCAACAATTTCAGTCTTCAAAGATGCCCAAGGAACAATAACCAAAGGTGTCGGAAAATCATGTACACAGATATGAAGATCAAAACCAATTTTTTAATCTAAAAACCAGAATTTCTCTATAGCAAGGGATTAAATCACTTCTTTCTCAGAGATGAATTATCTCACAGGCTAATCACAACACATTAGGGAAGCCTTGTCAGCAAGAATCCCAGGTATACTTCAGATTGAAACTTATAAAACCATATATCCATTTCTAATTACGATGGGAGATCAAAACAAATACAGTCATCTTCATTAAGACCCATTGGTGTAACAGGCACCAAGAACATACCTTGCAAAGCTTTTGGATATGCCGTGGGAGAAAGCAAGCAGACAAGTGGCTGTCCGAACAAGTTTGTGAAATTCTGCAATATATAAGAATTTAAGACTTATTAAAGATTTGACAAATTGTAGTTACCTAGTAATCTTCCAATGTACACAACTAGTAAATAGACTGGGCTCTTTAACTTACAAGCAGATGTGGAGACGGCAGCAGCTGCAGATATGCAGCTCATTTTCATTATCATGCATACCAATTTGCTAAAGGATTGCCACCAAAACAGTGAGGTTCACTATGTAGACTACTGATTGTTAAAGTAATAGCAGATAAATAACTGTAGTTTTGCAGGTACAGGTCATCTGGGTCTCTAGAAACGGTGGTGCCACTGAATACATCAGGGTGAATTTTCCAGATCTAGCTTTCAGTATCAAAGGCTCTGGGAGTAGATAAAGTCCCTTCCTCAGTCTCGTGGCCACAACTCACACAGGATGTTTTCCTTATAGAAAGCACTATGTGGACACTCAGACAGCAAGTGGAGCACTCTGCATAATTTTGGATATCATTTATCTAAAGGCAGATCTATTATAATAGATACAATTTTAATAACATAAATTATTCGGTAAAGCAACAAAAATATATATTTCCTAGGAGTAAATGGAATACGCCAGAAAGTTAGAAATTCTAAAGATTAAAAATAAAGACTAATAAATGGAAAGATACATTATGCTCTTACAGATGAACCCATTCTAAAATGTCATGCTAACAATATATTAAAATTTGAACCAATCTCAATAAAAAGAGCGACTGGTGCCCCTCTTCCATAGAAAAATATACTGTTGAAGTTCACATTGAAAAATTAGTCAGGGGCTGGAGAGATGTATCAGAGGTTAAGAGCACTGACTGCTCTTCCAGAGGTCCTGAGTTCAATTCCCAGCAACCACATGGTGGCTCACAGCCATCTGTAATGAGATTTGGTGCTCTCTTCTGGCCAGCAAGCATACAGACAGACAGAATACTGTATACATAATAAATAAATAAATCTTTTAAAAAATAAAATAAAAAAAGAAAAATTAGTCAGGAAAGCAAAAGAAAAGACCCATCAGATATTAAAATATACTTAAAAATTTCAGTAACTGAAATGTGTGGCACTGGCACAGGAGTGGGCCGAAAACAAAGAACAGTATGGGAAGTTCAGAAAAGAACTTGTTAACACACAGGACTTCTGTGTGTATAACACGGTGACCTGCAAACACACAGGACTTCTGTGTGTGTAACATGGTGACCTGCTAACACACAGGACTTCTGTGTAACACGGTGACCTGCAAACACACAGGACTTCTGTGTGTGTAATACGGTGACCTGCAAACACACAGGACTTCTCTGTGTGTAACATGGTGATCTGCAAACACACAGGACTTCTGTGTGTGTAACACGGTGACCTGCTAACACACAGGACTTCTGTGTGTGTAACATGATGATCTGCAAACACATAGGACTTCTGTATGTGTAACACGGTGACCTATAAACACATAGGACTTTTGTATGTGGAAAACAGTGACCAGCAAACACATAGGGCTTCTGTATATATAACAGTGATTTTTTTTCCACATTTAGAAAAAAGCACGCTGTCTCCATATTTCATGCTATTATATGTGAGTAAACAAATCAATCACAAATCTAAATGAGAAAACAAGCGACTAAAGTGTTGAGCAAAAATATAGCAAATTATTTTTGTGGCCTGGAAGCCCTTCCTAACTATTATGATTGCCAAGATTAATATAAGCTATGAAATGTAGAAATATCCTCAATTCCAGCACTTGGAAAATGAGGTAGGAGGGTCAGAAGATGGAGTCAGCCTGGGCAAACAAACCAACCAACCAACCATACCACCACCACCACCAAAAAACCCAAGCTTGGTTACCATGCATGAAGTCCTGGGCTCCATTCCCAGCACTGAAGAAAGCGATTATCCCACAGCATTATTCCATATTTTGGAAATGCCCGTGGGTTCTAGTCTGCTGCTCTTGCTCTGGATAGTGCTAAAGTGGCCAGCACGACCATCCATTTCCTCAAGGTCTCTTCTTTTGGCATGCTAGTCAAACCCTGTCCTCTGATACATCTCACATACATACACGCATACACATAAAAAGACAGTAGTTATCACAGCAGGTCTGAGTGCCAGCTTATAAAATTAGCTTTGGCTGGTTTCTGGAAGGTATGTGTGGGAAGACTCACATGATTAGGCTTGCTCTGCCTAGATGGAGCAAATGAGACACTTTAGGGAACCCCAGCACTCCCTCTGGAAGCCTGGCAGAGGATGCCTTGGTGATCAGTTCCCAATCTAAGCCTTGACTTCAGTTCTCTAGTGGAGTCAGTCTGTAAAGTTTGGGACTAGGTCTCATGTAATCCAGGTCACTTGTGATCCTCTGGTTTCCATGTTCCAAATGCTGAGGACAGAAACCAGAGCTTCGTGAATTCTAGCAAATACCCTATCAACTGATGTACACCCCTAGCTCTGTAATAAGCATCCCTAAAAGAAAGTACTTAATCCACAGGGAAAGAATTTGTTGTTGGGGAAAGAAGAGCATTTTGTGTGACTACTGGGCCAGCACCTGGAAGTTTAGACCTGGTTTTCCCCAGCCTTCCTTACATTCCTTATCCTTTGTTGATTTTGCTATCTTCATCTTACTGTACTAAGTCTTCACATAATTTTATTCTGAGTACTAAATCCTCCTTGAAATTTTGTGCACTTGGGAGTTGTCATAGGCTCCTGAAAGACAATACCAGAGACACAGGGTCTTGTGATGTTGTTTAGGTTGGACATGAATTCTGAGGATCAAGAGAAACTTCTATCTCAGTCTCTTGAGTATCTGAGACATAGGCACAGGTGACTATGCCTGGCATATCAGATTATATTTAAATTTAAGGACTTGGTTGGTAAAATATTTGCCACATAAGCATGAAGATCTGAGTTTAATGCCTAGTGAACATGTGAAAAGTAAAATGTAGTAACATGTGTTTATAATACCATCATTGGGAAGACAAAGACAGATGGACTTGGGGCTCATTGGCCAGCTAACCTATATTATAGGCAAATCCTAGGTCCTAGTGAGAGAGCCTCTATCTAAAATAACAAGATGTGGCAGGCAAGATGGCTTAGTTCACAGCCAGTTTTGGCAATCTGTTTGATCCCTAGAAACCAAATAGTAGAAAAAAAGAAGTGACTTGAAGTTGTACTCTGACCGCCATACACACACAACCCACTCCTCAACATACACATGCATATGTGTGCATGTGTGTGTGTGTGTGTGTGTGTGTGTGTGTGTGTGTGTAATTAAAAACTGAGGGAATATTGGAGAGATGACTCAGCAGTTAGAGGCACACTCTACTCTTCCAGAGGACCCAAGTTTAGTTCCCGGCACTGATATGTCAGGTATCTGACAACTGTCTGTAACTCCAGGCCTAGGGGATCCAATACCCTCTTATGGCCTTTGTGTACAACCATACATATGTGACACACACACACACACACACACACACACACACACACACACACACACCTTTAAAAACGTGTAAGTTAAAAACTGTATCAAACTGCAAGGCCTGGTGATTCATGCCTATAACCTGGAAGGCTGAGACTGGAGGACCTCAAGTTCAAGGTCAAACTGAGCTGCATAGCAAGACTGTCTCAAAACAAAACAGAATACAAACTCCAGTACTAACTTACATCAATAGACATAGTATCCTTTTAAAAGGTCTATTTTCAATAATAGAAGATGAAATAGACTCTGTCTCATATGGTAAAGATAGGATAGTAAACAAAACAGAAAAACTCCGTCTCCCTGAAGATGACATTTGGACAGGGATGCAGATACAGACAGGCCCCCAGTAAACAAAATAAATAAATTACATAAAAACCTCAAAGGTAACAAGGAGTCTGGGTACAGAGCATGGAATTCAAGCAATTACATCAATAGCACAGGTTTTATAATCAGAGTGTTTAAATATAGCTTTGCTACTACTTAGTTTGGTGTGTGACCTTGGGTAAAACTGCTTCAGTTGGGTGTGGAGAGATGGCTCAGCAGTTTAGAATACTGGCTCCCCTCGCAGAAGACTTGAGTTCATTTCCCAGCACTTACACAGTGCTGAGAACCATCTGTAACTCTAGTTCCAGGGGATTTGGTACCCTCTTCTGGCCTCCATGGGCATTATATGCAGGTATAGACAAAATTATAGACGTATTATATGCGTATAGACAAAATATCCACACATATAAAATAAAAAATCAAAAAAAATGCTTAAACTTTCTGTGCCTTAGTTTTCTTATTAGTCAAATGAGGACAATAAAAATGGCAATGGTAGGCCTGAAGGTACGATCCTATAATTACTATTGTTACTTGGGAGGCTAGAGTAGGAAGATTATAAGTTCAAGGCTGGTCTGAGCTATAAGCAACTTAGTGAAACATCACTATCTCTAAATAAAAAAAGAGATCTGGGGATGAAACTAGTGGCAGAATGTTTACCCAGTGTATGTGAGGTCCTGTATTCAAACTCAGTACTGAAAAAAGTGACAAATTATCTGTGAGAATTAAATGTGCTCAAGTACAGCAATCATTTAGAAGAATACATAGCACCCGCTGTCATGATACAAACGTTAACTATCAAGGTTATGAAGAACAAGGTAATTAAGGAGGAACTGACTAAGAGGTTTCATTTGTTCAAACACTTAACAAATAAGAGGGACCTTTGAAAGGGCATTTAAGATAGACAGGGTGGAATGCAAAGGCCGGAGCAGAAAAGTGCCTGGAATATTAGGACTGTATTGACTAGTTGTGTCATAAGCTAGAGTCATCAGAGAGAAGGACCCTCAGTTGAGGAAATGCCTCCATGAGATGCAGTGTGGAGCATTTTTCGGGTTAGTGATCAGAAGGAGAGGGTTCAGCCCATGGTGGATGGGGCCATCCCTAAATAGGAGGTACTGGGTTCTGTAAGAAAGCAGAATTAGCAAGCCAAGGGAGCAAGTCAGTAAGCAGCACTGCTTTCCACGGCTCGGCATCAGCTCTTACCCCGAGTTCCCGCCTTGCT